GCAAACCCAAGCCAGCCATTGCATGCACGGCGACCTACCTCCGCACACTCGTTGGTATTACGTCTATGCCTTTGAAGAGGGATTGCAATTTGCTCCGGCAAAGCCTGCGCCTTTCCGATCAAAAACGGGGCGACATGAGGCAGGCACCCATGGCTTCACCGGCTCGTCCGCACGCCTGGCTGCTAGAGAGCGATTTCACGGATGCCTGTTAAGGCTGACAAGGCTTCTATCGGATTCCAGAAAGGCTTCCCGGAGGCTGTAGCGGTAGCACCCCGACGAACTCGCCAACTAGCAAGATGTGCAAGTACAAAAGGGAACCGACCGGCAGATGGGCACTCTGTTCTCAAGCTTTGTTGCTGCCGAGAAATATTGAATTGAAACACTTCGAGTTAATTGCACCGTTGCTGGGGTATGGGTTAACATGATACGTTCTATTCCTTACTTTTACTGGGATTAAGTATTCATAGAGATGTAAAAAAAAACAATGGCCAGTTGAGTTAGCGGGAGTGATAAGTGGCATATGGTACATAAGCCACAGCATCACATGCAGCCGGACAGCTCTCTTCACTTGACGTGACAAAGTCCGTTTCCGAGTCGTATGCTGAGTCTGTTGGTTCCGTGCAGTGAGTGCACGCGCACGGGGTTCGACAGAGCTGTAAAGCACAAACTTCAGGTTTCGGGGATATTATGAAACTTGAATAGCCTAAGTCTAAGAAGTGTTACTGATTCGTTGGGAAGCCATGCTGGTGCGGCTACTTATTTCTTGCCTCTGGTGATCGACTACATAATCCTACCGCCTACGTAGTCATCACGCGTTTTGGTCTTCACCCACGTGATGCTGTTCGCTCGCAAGACCAGGCCTGCGCGACGCAGGAGACAATGCGACCTGAAGTTTAGGGCTTAGATGGGCTTAGGGTTTATAGGGGCTGGGGTCGTCAATGAGTCAAGTCCAGAAGATGACGCACCAAGCAGGGTTTAGCAGGGTTTAGGGTTTAGGGATTCCCCGAGCAAAACCGTGCAATGCAATGTGATACACGGGTGTTACCGCTGCGGCCGCTGCGGCAAGCAGCGCGTCCTGCTGTGCGCTAGGTCGCAGGGAAGGTAACCAGTAGCTTCTCTAAGTCCACCAAGTTCAGATATCGCCTCCTCCCCCTTCATGGCTACTGCGTACAGAGTAGTGGCAGCGTTGAGGCTTTATCCCATCAAGTACGCACGCAGCCAAAACCCATCGGCAGAAATCTGAGGCCAGTGCCAACACCAGCGCCGACTGCCTCACCTGGTTGCGAATCCTAAACCCTAAACCCTAAACCCTAAGCGCTAAACCCTAAACCCTAAACCCTAAACCCTAAACCCTAAACCCTAAACCCTAAACCCTAAACCCTCAAGCCCAAACCCTATCCCCAGAAGCATCCACAAGACCACATCTAGGGACCCGTGCTACACACTGACTTAGGGAACGGCAGCAGGTTTAAGGGTTAATGTTGATGCATGGTGCAGGGCTTCTCAAGAGTAGCATCCTTTTGACGGAGAGTCCCTGGAATATTGCACAATGAACTTGGGGGCATAGCGAAGGTTGTAATTTTCATAAAGGCAACAAGAGACTGCAACAAGAGTATCAGAACAAGACAGTTGTTGGGGAGTGACAGCAGACGGAAGCAGTATCACGGGTTAGCAACATGTACACATGACTCAAATTCGTTTTCAAGGGATTCCTCAGCCTCATGTCTGTAACGTGAACCTGGGTCCAAGACCTTACAGTAGGCTTCTAGCCTCTCATGGCATGCATGCTTGATCTTCAGTCCCAATCATGCTAACTGGGCAGCCTGTCAACCTACACCGACCCCAGAAACGGTTGACAACTGAAGAAAGACAACCAACAAAGTGCAGGTCACACAGAGAAGACACGGGGTATAGTGGGTCCCCATTTCGTCCCCCACCGAAGCCAAACTTTCAAGCCTAAAGTCGGCGCACGGTGCGTGCTTCCGTTGACGCTCGAATTCGGCGACTGAATTGTCTCAAAGCAGATGTGTATTCAGCCAATTCTTGTAATTTGCGGCCGAACATCGCCGAATTTCGTCTTCGGCGCCGAATGTCGACTTTCGGGACCGAGTTTCGACGTCTTCAAAAACACTTCAAATGGAAATAGCCTGGGCCAACGGCCTAGGCACAAATGCCCTAACTCCCTAAACCCCTGAACGCTAAAACTCCTGAACGCCGACTGCATTTTTGTTTCAAGAGCAGCCAGAGTCTGGACAAGTCCGGATCTTGGCTTCACGGCCGAATGTCGACTTTGGGACCACATATCGACTTCGCGCACAACTTCGACTTCAGTGTTTCGTGACATCGAATTATGTCGTCTTTCGGCTCCAAGGCCGAATTTCGACTTCAAATTTCGTCATCGCGCGTAATTTGAGCTTCGGGTCCTGGCAAACAAGTTCGACTTCATCGGCTTCGCACCCCCTCCCCTCCCCTGAAATGCGGACCCAGTTTCCCGGCTCCACGCGTAAGTGCACAAGACTTGAATACCGCGCAGAGTACACGCCAAAATCCGTACTAGCCCCTGCGCCCTTAGGAATGCCGAGTAAGCTTGACTGCAAAGCAACAAACATGCTCATGAGAAAGTGTGCAACTAAGTCCGTCAAAAGCGTGAAGAGCGCAGGAGGTCGGTGCTCGGGAACCTGGAAGCGAAGCGGAGACCACTCCAGGCCCAGCCCAGCCACGAGGTATGCGACCGACTTTGGTAGCTTCGCAATCCGGAGAAAAGACTAAGCGGGATTGTCGTTGCTCCACCTTGCGACTTGCGACTAAAGAACACGAAGGTATCCAACAGGTACATTTCGCGCCGAATGCAGGGACAAGACGAACATGCTCTGAGCAACACTCTCTGTCAAGGCCTACTCTGCATCTGGACTAGAAAAGCTGCCATGACAAACCCGAAGTGGGAACATCTTGTCTCTACGGAATCTGAGCTCGCTGTCTTCAGCTTTGTCATTCTGTCCTGTCGCTCTTTCAACTCAACACGATGAAGATTAAAACTTGCCAATTGCAGCAATCTTGTCAGCTATGCCGAATTAGGGGATGCTTTGACAATCGGCGTTGGTTCGGTGTCCTACTCCCTTTTGACTACTCCGAGGACTCCAAGGCCTGAAACGTTCAGAACGTCATAGCACCGCCCCTCCGAGCCCGTACTTCGAAAAAATCAGCCTGGCAAACGTTCTACGACCATGAGGGGGGCGGCTAAATCCGAAACCGGCGCAACTCGCCTCGGCGCCGCTGAGGGCTGGGGCTCCGCTCCACTTGGGCTTTGGTTGCATACATTGTGGCTTCGCTGCAAAAATATAGTGTGAGCCTGTTTTGAGGCTCTGGGTGGTTACGAAGTGACCGAACTAGCGCATGAGCTGTGGAATGTATTGTTGGTGCAAGCAAAGGTATTGCCAAAATTGGTCTAAGGACGAAGCATGCCCATGCTGAACCTGGTTACGCTTCTAAGCTCCTGAGTTCACTTAAACTTTGCTTGAGAAGTCCGGATAACTCAGATACCAAGAACCGTGTAGACTTGGTCTTTGCAGACATGGCCTTGGTGCAAGCAGGTCCAATTGTGTAGCAGTCATGTTGCAGACGCAGCTGTAGTTGTTACAAGCTGCAGCAAGCAGCTAAACCACCCGCAGAGGAAATCGCATAGTTCCCAACAACATATTTTCCTCCGCGCAATGCCCTCCCTGCCAAAAGAAAGCAAAGAGGCATGCAAACTTCTACGACTACTACTGCTACTACTTTCAACTGACTGTTCGGGAAGCTTTTTTCCACGAGCAAGCGAATCTGAATTGGGGGGCCTGTTGTTTCTCGACCATCTGCATGTTTTGATGGGATCTAGCACTACCCTTTATGTTGTCAAAGTCCGATGTGTGGCAGCATGTCAGAACTACCCCCCCTCAGCACTCCCGTGCAGCATCAACTGTACACTGATGTGCCTTTTGCCACCTTGCAGACATCTGGGCTTGAGGCAACAAGCGCATCTTGAAAGCAGGAAGCTGGGTCTCCTCCCCGTTTATCAGATCCATGATAAGTCAGTAGGTCTCAGCAGGTCCACCACGAACACGCCAAGATCCGCAGTGCCCAGCGCGGCAACGTGGAAGTATGTACGTTGCGCAGATTGCATGGCTCTCAGGCACCAAAAATTCGGGCGAGCTGGCCAAAGCACAAAATTTGGAAAGAGTTAAGCTACCAGGCTCTTGCTTTAAGTAACTGAAAGCGTGTCGATAGAGTCTACAGACCTTCTGATTGTTCAGAGCTTGCAGAGTCCTAGTTTCTGTGCTCAGCTTTTGGCCATGCCACAGGAAAATCCAGTAGCTGCAGACAACTGAAACGCGAGCAGAAGTGAAGGCGCCCCACTGAGGCCGGACTGCCGTTTCTTCATTCTGCCTGTACCCGCTAAAGGCTAAACTGGGGCAATGCCACTGGGCCCATTGGATAGCCCCGTGCAACCTGCAACAAATTGAGAGCACAAAATGCGTTGCAGATACACACGACATGATAGCGACGTCTTGATGACCAGCCCCTGTCTCCTGATCTACACTTCATCTTCTGTTTGCTGCTGCATAAGGTTGGTTTGGGGTGCGGGTATGAGTGATGTTCCGGATGTATAAGCACTTTCTTTTTTCCCGACTCTGCTAAGATCGCACTCATAGAAGATGGACAAACTTGCATATAGATGAATGTTGCGCAAACTCAGCTTGATGAAATAACTGCAATCACGCTCGTGGGGACTGAATACTGATACGTGCTCGTTCTGAGGACCATGCCGCGCACGACAACTGCATCAGGGTTTGTCTTTGATTTGGGATCCAGTAACTGTCATACATCAGGAACACTCTTGCTTACACCCCACAGGCTTATTCTACATCGCCCACATGGAGCTTGGAATTCAGTAGACTTCATTTACTTTCAGCATTTTGGGAAATCTTTGGAGACATGCACGCAAATTGCACGCATGGGACTGGTCAAGCCATCGTTACCTCGACGTCTGACTGCGCCTCTATACAGGCTCGGCCATAGGTCACTGGAAGCTTCGCATCGTGCGACACTTGCCGCCGAAACAAGAATGCCCCGCAACCAAAGCCGCCAAGAGCAGCAAAGATGACTGAAAGGCTGAGTTGCAGCAGCCCTGCCCAAGCATGTCCAGGGACCTGCGACTTCAAGGAATGTTGGAATGTTGCAGGCTGAAATTCATACTGCAAACTGCAAGGTCAAAACATAAATGGGACGAGGGATGTATCAACCAACAATGACTTGAGCAAAGACGATGGAGATGCAAACTAAGAAAACATCCCACAAGGCATCGTGTAACATGCCATGCCGTTGGGCTACTCAGATCATGTTCAAGTGCAGCAGGCCTCGAGCGCATGCGGAGACATGTCGCTGGTCGGTTTGGAGAAGGCCTGCTCAAAACAAAGGCCAAACAAGCAGCAACCACCCTGGAGCGCCCTTGCTTTTTCCGCATGCGCCTGGAAATCTGGGACCCATTGAAGCAACGGTTCATACAGGTTCTTGGGAAGAGACACTCCAGGCCCGCCATTTGCCAGCATCCAGGCGTTTGACCGTTGACAGTTGAGCAACGACTCGACAGACTTGTCCACAAACATGTGCTGCAAAGCGTCGAAGGGGTCAAAGGCGTCTATGGCTGACCTCCACCAAGGATGTTTCAAGAATAGTTTCTCCACTTCCGTCAAGACGTAGGTGTCGCAGGCCGGGTAGGTGGCCTCGAACTTGTTGCCAGTTGCGCCTTGTTGCATATCACGAAACCAAACCTGCGTTGTGGGCAGGTCTAGTGGGCTAAGAGTTCTGCAAGGACGTGCTCCAAAACCAACGCCTGCTTGCCTTCCCTTATCAAACGGCCGTCCCAAACGGTTCACACATGTAAGTGCTAGTGCCAGTGCCTCTGACATGTCCATGCCACAACACTGAAAGAGCACCATCCACCAGCGAAAGTAGCTCACAAACGAATCCACATTCTCGCGGGAAAGCCCAAACAACTGCGCAAAGTCTTCCAAGATGTGGTGGCCTAGCATCTTCAATCTGGTCCCCGTTTGCCTCAGCACCAGCGCGAAGTCTCAACGCTCGCACGAGACAGATTCACCGAAACTCTGGAACCACTCGGGGCACTGCTTCAGGTTGTTCATGTTTACAAAAATGGCCTGGGAAGTACACTGACTCGCTGCAGCTCCAACTGTTGAAACGACCGTTCGGAACCAAGCTAAGCAAGCTCTCTTACGGAACCACAAAGGGTGCTACCAGCTGGGCTGGCGAACAATTTAGACGCAAGCGTCCGCCTAAGCTTCGGGCTGTAGGAGGTTGGTGAGCGTTCTACTTCTCCTCTCAAGCCCAGGTGGATGCCCCCCCCCCCCCCCCCCCCCCCCCCCCCCCCCCCCCCCCCCCCCGGCCTTGGACGCTTAACGTCTATTCTGCGTGTGCTCTTTTTGGATTTTTCCCGAAAACCAATTCTGAAATTGGGTTCTCGTTTGGTGCTTTAATGCGGAAGGCGTTCTATCGGATCGCTTCTTGGAGGGTCGGACGGAATGAGTTTTTGACGGGAGGCCGCGGACCGCGGAGACGACACGGTCAAGGGAGGGGGTTCGGAACATCTTGCTGGAGAGGGGCGTGGTGTGGGGAGGCGTGGACCATGCCGTGACATGCGGTTGATGGGCAGGGAATATGGGGACACGTGGATGCCCCTCCGCGCCCTCCAAGCCCGCGCCTTCCGCGCCCTCCGCGCCCTTCCGCCCTCTGCACGCTTCGCGCCCTCCGCGCCCTCCGCGCGCTCCGCGCCCTCCCGCGCCCTCCGCGCCCTCTGCGCCCTTCGCGCTCTCGCGCGCGCTTCGCGCCCTCCGCGCCCTCCGCGCGCTCCGCGCCCTCCCGCGCCCTCCGCGCCCTCCGCGCCCTCTGCGCCCTTCGCGCTCTCTGCGCCCTCCGCGCTCTCCGCGCCTCCGCACCCTCCGCCCTTCGCGCTCTCCGCGCCCTCCGCGCGCTTCGCGTCCTCCGCGCCCCCGCGCGCTCCGCCCTCCCGCGCCCTCCGCCCCTCGCGCCCTCTGCGCCCTTCGCTCTCTCCGCGCCCTCCGCGCCCTCCGCGCCTACGCGCCCTCCGCGCCTCTGCCCCTCCGCGCGCTCCGCGCCCTCCGCGCCCTCTGCGCCCTTCGCGCGCGCTCCGCGCCCTCCGCGCCTCCGCGACTCCGCGCCCTCGCGCGCGCTCCGCGCCCTGCGCGCCGCCCTCCGCGCCCTCCGCGCGCTCCGCGCGCTCCGCGCCCTCCGCCGCGCCGCCCTCCGCGCGCTCTGCGCCGCCCTCCGCGCCCTCTGCGCCCTCCGTGCCCCCGATTGCGTCTATTCTGCGGGTGCGTTGCGTCTATTCTGCGGGTGTTTCCTTTGTAAAGTATGTCTTTACAAGGCACGCACGTGTAGCATAGCCTTCAAGTGTCCATCTTGCCCCCCCCTTTTCTTGTTTTTCTTTGACTGTTTTCTTGTCGCCAACGGTTGTTTTTCATCTTCATCATCCATACACTGTGGTCAGAATGGGGCTTGAGGGGGGCCAGTCAGGATTAAAGCACTTAGGCCCCGTGCGTGGTCGTGTCCAGCATATTTGGAGACTTCATGATAGCTGTGTGCTGGGCATGGTGCTCCATGGACTTCAGACTGGACAGGTGCGGCAGGCATGGGTACTGCAAGGGTTCGGGGTGGGGTGGGCATGGGGGCCTGGCGCACCGTCTCCGGGAAAAGACGGGACCCGTTCCAGGCTTCGGGAGCACAGGCGAAAGGCTTTTACTGATAGCGCCCTGCCGAAGTCTTGCATGTAGGAAGTGTGCTCGTGCCGAGACAGCCCTTCTGGGACTCCGTCGAGATCGCAGCGGTTCTTTCTAGTGGCCGGGTGGAAAGCAGGGACTTACCTCTCCACAGCTGAAAGCCAAGTTCTTGTTTTTGCGGAAACGTCCATGTTGAACTTGGAAAATGCACGAATGCCGTAACGCCTTTACCTAAGAACAACAACATACCCCCGAAATCCCCGCCATCCGTCACGACATCCATCCATGCATCAACGAAAGGTTAGCCTTCTTGGAGCTTATTAAAAAGTCTTCACGCAAAATTAACCCATATTGAAGAATACAGGAGTGACAGTCACCAAGTCCATACAAGTGGTAAGACATTCAACTTTTTAGGGGTTGGAAATCTTTGTGTATTCAAGAAGCTTAATCACACTTACACCATTTAATCACTTGTTGTACAACAACACAACAAGAAGTAAAACTGATTTTTCAAAGAGTTGGTTGTTGTATCTATAAACATGTAACTAAATTTAAGCAAAACATCTTGAAGGTAATTGATGCTGTTGAAAACATGTAAGAGATGTAACAGATGACAGAGATAACAGTTTCTTATATGATGGTAGAACCATCATATCTGAAACAATATCTCTATCATGGACTGTGGTAGGCCCTCCCGCTGCGCTTCCCACCCTTCTGTCTAACGACTGCCATCCTAACAACCCAATGTCGGAAGAGTCCTCAGAAAACGAGGGAGGCGATGCTATGAGTTATGAAAATCAAAGAGGGGGAGGGAATGAGACGAGAATGAAAGGGAACAGAACTACTTGAATGACATTTGGACATGAGGCGACGGATGAGACAAAGAATGAAGCGAAAGAAGGGGCGAGAAAGGAGAGAACGGATGAGGTAAAAGAAGAGGTGAAACTGCAGGAGGAAGATTGGTCGGAGGCCACAGACCCCAACACACCCAGTCACAAAACCTACACACCCACTTTTCCAATTTCTCGCCCCCCTCCCCCCCCTCCCCCACCCTCAACCCCTCCTCACGCGGAAAATCCGCAGGCGGAAGCGCGGACCCCTCCGCCTTGCTCTCGTGGACTATGTCCGCTTCTGCACCAATTACGAGAAGGTGCGTCGTGCCACGCCTGCCACACCAATCCATTCTCGTGGAGCACCACACCCGCCACAACCATCATCGAGTTTGATTGACCTCTTACTTCTCCCCCCTTTCCCCTTCCCGCCTCCTCCCCCTCCCCACCAGCTATGCCGAACGTGTGCGGCCTGTTCTCGCCATGTACCCACTGGCTCACTCCCTTTAATCCGACCGTGAAAAACCCCTTTCTCCACTCTAACCCCCCCCATACCTATGCAAACCCCCCATCTTCCCCTGTTATGAACTTCTTGCCAGGAACTACTTTTGCACAAGCGAACCCCGGTAGAGGCGCGTGTTGCGGGCTCTTTCCCATGTCGACATATCTCGACTGTGCTTGGGGACTACATGAGCCCAGGTGCACATGCATCACGTTGTGGACATTAGTGTCAATCGAGGTGTTTGCAACATCTTCGTTGTCAAACTGCAACCAGAGGCCAACTTCCCAGCGCTGGAGAGACGCTGCATCAGCCAGGGAGGCATCATCCAAACGAATGGCAAAATAGTGGTTGTCATCCGGCTCCTTTCAATTGGTGTGCAAGAATGGACATGTACTGAATCTGTCGCATGTCTGTCGCTTCCTTCCGCCCCCCACCCGACCCCTCGCTGCATCGCAACTCCCACACGCTAAAAACTTCAAGAACGACTGAACAAAACACCATCGTGCACAAAACTTTGCACTCATCACCGATGATGCCATATTGCATTCTGCGGCAGCTTGCGTCAGGTTGTGTCTCGCCACTATATGTTGCCCCGGCCGTCGGATACAGCTTTCAATGCAGCACACTTGGGATAACTAGGCTAGAAGGCCATCAGAGAGCCAGCTGCAAACTCCTGAGACCTAGGGTTTGTGCAGCCGAGTCTTGACAATCCGATGAGGCCCACTCATAACACCATGCACCACGATGCGCGCCTGTGCTTCTACGTCTCTGCGTCTTTCCATGTCTGTCTTCGGGTTTCTGTGTCTGTGTACTGTATGTCTGTCCGTGTGTCTGTCTGTCTGCTACTGCTTCTGCCTCTGCCTCTTTCTCGGTCTCTGTCTGTGTGGCTGGGCGCCTGTTCAAGAAACTTCAGCAGCTGCTCAAGCGTAGTAGTAAAACATCTCACGTTCTTCCCGAAGTTGACGACTAGCTGTGTGAGGCAAGCGCTGTGGTACTGCAAAGCGGACTGAAGATCGCGAGAGGCTCCGATTTGGACGAAATAGCGGGGAAGCCCATTTCGCATGGACGAGAACCTTTCGGTTTGCATAGGAAGCAAAAACTGACGGCGGTGGGCTTCCAAGGGGGGCCGAAGGCTCCACTCAGTAAGCGGTTCAAACACAGACTGTGGAAATTGTTCGTTGAAGCCAAGTTGATGTGCACGCATCATGTTGTAAGACTTCTCGCAATTCATCCATTGTCCACTGGACTTGTTTACCACCATTTGTGTGATGGCAACTCCATCATCTGCTGCAGCCAGCATCGGCTTCCAAAGATGTGCTTGCATGATGCGACGCTGCACCTCTGTAATGTTGTGCGACTCACATCCGGGATACTTTGGAGATGTGACGCTCCACCTGTTCTTCCAATCTGTATCATTCCAAAGATAGTGTCGCCAATCAGCGGAAAGTTGCATGCCACAGCACTGCCGCAGAATGCTCCAATAGCGCATGTACTCGAGGAGCTGCTGCATCTGAAAGGAGGTCAGCTGAAATAAGGGCTGGTAGTCCCACACCAACTGATAGCCCACAGAACCTACCCTTGCCGTTGTCTGAACATACGCAATGTCTAGCACTGTGTCCGCCTGACGCAGCTTCTCCGCTTCCTCTGCCCAGTTCAGGTTCTCACTGATATTCACAACCCACAAACTTGTGATGTTTCCCGCTCCTGCCTGGTGAACTGCTTTCTGCACCTCTGTAAAAGTGTCGTGGCTCTTGAGAACATAATACGTGGGCGCGCTGAGGGTGGGCTTCAATAGATTTTGAAGAACAGTTGTGAGCTGTGCCTCCCTCACAAATCTGCACGACACTGTTGCCGTCGGATGTAACAAAATCTGCAAGGCACACGCGGACTGAAACTGAAGGGTTGTCTGCGCACGACCAGGACCGAATGAAATCCACACGTTAGCACCGTTAGCAAGGCTGGCCAGGACGGTTTGCAAAACACCAACCCACAGGCAGAACACGAAACGGTAGTGCATCTTGGAATGCCTAGCACAGGCTCTGCAAACTGGGTTGGGTGTATTTCCAAAGGAGTGCGAGGTCAAGGTTAAGGATTTCTAGCTTGAGTCAGGTGTTGCACATTAACAACGTGTGAACGGAACATGCGCTGTGCCTTTCATTTCTTGCCTTGAGCCGACGGCCACTTGCCCATTCTTCCTTCGATGCTTAAGGCTCACAAATTCACTCGGATGTCAACTTGGGTAGCGCAAGCTGTTGGCTGCATCTGCTAAATCCTCACGTTTTTTTGCAGGCCAAGGACGGACACTCACCGATCCACCGCCTTCGCTTCTGCCTTCCCTGCCTGACAGCAAGCAGCGCCCTCACTTGGAACAAAGTCTGTGAGCACATCTGCGCGGGGACGAGGCCGGCATGAAAGCTGATGTCGTGGAGTCTTGGGTGGATGCGTGAACCAGCTGCAAAGCCATCTTTCAGCCATCTCCCAGGAGACTGAGCGTTTACAGTTTCACGTGCAATGCGCTGCCCGTTCGCGAGGCGGATCCACATGACACTTGGACAAGGATGTCGTCACAGCAAGAGGCAGGCTCTAGACAGCAATGTTTCCACAGGCTGTATGAACACATGCTTGTGGCTTTGGCAAACCAAGCTGCATCACATGCTTTGACAGCGCTTTCCGTTTGACTGCACACTGAGGATGAGTCTGAATCTGTCCACTTTCGCTGCGGAGACTGTACATAAGCTGAACCATCTGCCTTGTCTTGACAATGCAATCTTTCACGACGGTGCTTTCCGTTCAACTTGCTTTTGAACTTGTTGTCGGCGCGCATGAAAGCTCGCCTTCTCAGACAGCTGGTGCGTCCAAGCTCAAAGTGGAGCTAACTTGATGCTAGCCTCCTGCCAGCAAGTTGCAAGAGCGTCAGGTATGTACGCCCATGACACAGCAACGAATTACCAAAAATGCAACAACGGCTCACCAAGAACTCCTGCTTCCAGTTGGGGCGGCAAACTCAAATCTCGAGGGCCGGGATTCAAGCCTGAAGCCCCAAACCATATACATTGCACATGTGCATGTACGGTCAATGCTTGTCAGATTTTGTGTCGGCACACGTGCTCTATGCGACTGAAGCGCAACTTCAAGAGATTGCCCGACACAACAATCCTGATGTTTCTTGAATTGCAGGGTTCGATGTACGACTCGCATGCCCTTGCAGCGCATGTCGCGTTCGAAGCAGCAAATATAACCATTGAGCAAAAAGAACGTGCATGGCTTGGCCATGCATGTTACGCATCCTCTAGGATCGGTCTGAAGCAAAACTCTTGGACTGTACTGTAGACTCCCTAAAAACGGCATTCAGCATCAAGCGGCCTACATAATTCTGCTCTTGAAATTCGAGTCACTTTGCTTTGTCACTGATTTCTTGAAATCTGGTTGGGCAGCAGCCCAGCATCCTCGATGTCCTCACCCAGACCTGCGTGAATCGAGTCCTCGTCCCCTGCCAGAGACTGCCACCTGAAAAAGTCCCTCTGCCAAAGCAAGTAGTCCTCATGCAGACTCTGGCGGGAAGACAGGCGCAAGGACGCATCTTGCACACAGCACTCTTTGGAAGGGGCCTGTGGGCCTCTCTGAACCCTTCCAGGGAAAACAAGGCGTACACAAATCTGCATGGCAGACACCAGAGCTCCCGAAATGTTTGGAACATAAACCCAGGGGTTGTCAGTACTGATGCCATAGACAGTCCACAAGAGATTGCTGAACAACACCATGAAGACCCCAGACAGAAGGATCGGCGATGCATCCCGCCGGAGGCAATAGGTGTAGAGCCGCGTAATGGGTCGGGAGAAGGCGACAAAGGCCATCATGGACCCAACCAAGCCTAAAACCTCCTCCCTGGAGGACACTGGAAAGATGTCACTAAGCACCTCCAGACCAGCCAGTTCCCACTTACCCAAAAAGCAGCTGATGAAGGAGACTGCAAGGAATCCTCCGACAGTTTGCATCTCCAGCCTTCTCAGCATCCTGCTGCGCTGCTCTTTGCTGGCCTCATGCCATGCTCCTTAGGCAATGAGAAAGGCTCCTATTTCGTCAACGGCTTGAACTTCTTGTGGCCGCAAGAAAACGCTGGGGCACATCCTTAAACAAAGAGGCCTCTCCCGTGGTCAATCAATCGGATGCAAACTTTTCCCGAAATGGCAACCGAGGCTCTGGACTGCGTCGAACTAACACCCTCCTCCTGCCTATTGGAGTTGGCATTACAAAAAGAAAAACAAGGGGTTGTTGCTTTAAGTTTCTTTGACCGTCTGGAAAACCAGACAACACTGTGGTACCAGTTCGATCCAGCTGCGACAGCAATGTGATAGCGCTGGTGATGTTGAAGAGGAAAATGGCCGCTGCGGGGCTCGAGGCGAGGAAGCACCAAACATCTCCAACTTGCACGGCATACACGGTCCAAATGTAGAAATTCACGAAAAGGAGTGGCAACTGCCGCGTGTCAAAGCCGTTCAAGCTTCCAACTGCTTTCGCGCGGACCATCTCCTTCAGGGGCGCCAATGCAATGCATGTTGTCGCGAATGCTCCAACGCAGCCTGTTCCGTGGATCAGTGCCAACTTGGCCAACTCCTGAGCCGACATATGTTGGCCAAGGCTTCTGGGCTGGAACTGCTGAAGTTGAGCCAAACTGCTTCAGATGTCTGCGTAGGAAGAATCCCCTACATAGTCAGCGAGCAAGACTGCTGTTCACGTGTTGCCACCCGCTGTGTATGTGTAAGCTTTCAGCACATCTAGACTTCCAGGTCTCCAGTCTTGGGTTTACTGCTTTCGATCTCTTAATGATTGGGCCTTCCTCTCTTTGTTTTTATACCAACTCTGCGAACTTTGAGGAAACATGTGATCTTTGCCATGGAACAACTTGTCACGCCACCTATGCTTGTCAAAATGTAGGTCTGAAGCCTCGCGCCGTGAAAGCTGACTGGATCTCAGAAGTGAATGGCTCAAAAAGGCACAGTAAACTGGTCCGAATCGGGGCAGCAAGAATAGCAGCCTCTGGCACGTCTGGCAGAGTCGCAGTCGACACGGAGTCGAAACGGACTCGACGGAGTCGGCTGGTGGCCACCGTATGAGAGGATATGCAGCGCGCATGCTTGGATTGAGGACTTGCCGACTTTCGCTGCTTTCGCTCGCACGCAACCGTGCTCGGGTAATGGTAAAGCAACTTCGTTCCATCTGCCGTCCTCCCGGCGGCGTTCGACGTCGTTCCATGTGGAGAGCTAAGCTGCGCAGTGTCGCGATGGATCGTCTTCAAAGCGCCGAAGCGCAAGATTAGCAAGATTGCCTGGAAACTTTTGCGGGTCGTGGGTTCGGACACGTCTGCTCTATTCTGCTGACAGGAGCCGCAATCTTTCTGGGAGGATAAAGCCAGACAGCGTTCCTAATTCCATCAATTGACATGAGGAGCATAAAACTGATCCAATGCATCTATCTCTGTGCTCACACAAGCTGCACAAAAGCCAATCTTGGCTTCCGCAGGCTTAGAGCAGAGTTTTCAAGCACCAGTGATGTTGAACGTCGCGTGCTTCTCCGAGCTTCTGCCCATCTGTGCAGTCGCATGACCCCTGAGGGGTTGACCACAAAAAGTAGAGCCCCATAATTTTTGAATATTTCTGACCAGGTGAAGGTATCATTTCTTGTCAGGCCCGGGTCAGGGAATGCGTCTGCGAAAATGTGACGACATCGGGCGTTGGGCTCACTGGAGTCATGTCACTAGTAACTCCCGGAAGCTTCGAGTCTGCAACATGGACAGCTTCATACCCAAACCTCTCAGAGGATCCCTAGCGCATTGCAAGTCCACTGCTTTGACAGCACTCTCACTTGACTGCACACTGATGATGAGTCTGAATCTGTCCACCACGCCGACTCTGTTCGGGAACTCTCACTGAGGAGACTGTACATGAGCTGCACCATCTGCCGTGTCTTGACAATGCAGACAATGCAACCCTTTATGACGTTGCTTTCTTTTGAACTTGTTTTTGAACTTGTTGTCTGCGTGCATGAAAACTCGCTTTCTGTCCAAGCTCAAATGGAGCAAACTTGATGCTAGCCTCCTGCCAGCAAGTTGCAAGAGCGTCAGGTATGTACGCCCATGACACAGCAACGAATTACCAAAAATGCAATCAAGGCTCACCAAGAACTCCTGCTTCCAGTTGGGGCGGCAAACTCAAATGTCGAGGGTAGGGATTAAAGACTGAAGCCCCAAACCATATACGTTACACATGTGCACGTATATTCAATGCGTGTCAGATCGTCGGGACAGGTGCTTTATGGATGAAGAGAGTGTAGCGTGTGCTATCCCGAACCTCAGGTGTGGCATGCTGTGCTCGTCCAAAGGAGGATGTAAAGAGATCGCACTGGCCTAAGCATGTGCAAAGCTGGGTCTCGACTGCTCTTAAGCCAAAGCCTGAAACCTGTGCACTGCCAGATGCACGCTTTTGAACTTTGTACAAGTGCCTTTTCGGGCTATACATGCAGAAAATCGATCCTGAACTCAACGTTCTGCACTGGTACTTCGAGAACCCTTTTGCCAAGTTAGAGGTTCATGGGAATTTAGATAGGCTACCTTGGTCATGAGCTGTGGGCATCTTCAACCTCAGCCAAAAGCTCAGCAGTTGGAGTCCCCACTTTCGGATGCTTAGTGGCACTTAGTGGTCTATCTGGTACCCCTGGTGGCGCACGTCATGCGGCTCGGCAGGTACGGCAGGATGGGCAGCTCGCTGAACATGCGGAGCCTCTTCCAGGTAAGCGAGACACTACGAGTACCCGCAGAAGATCGCTTCTAAGAATATGGGGTGGGATTCTGTTCATGTCCCGCAGCGGCGTTGGCAACGCCCGCGGCTTACGTACTGGGAACGATGTTCTGATCGAGCCTGTCGGAGAAGTATGGAAGCTTAGTTTTCAAAACAGTAAAGTCTAGGAAGACTGCAAGATCTTGCAAAGCTCTTCAGGAATCGAGTCGCAAAAGAAAAGCCA